ATCAATTTGCTCAGGATGTCTTCTTTTCAGTATTTTCCTTTCCAGCTTTCTCACCTGACATCTCTTTACTTTCCTTTTAATTAATTCAAGGGTTTAAACTGTAAATTGAAGTCAATCAAAGAGAGGTTTTGTAACAGAGTCCTTTTTTTGTAGAAAGTATCTTCAGCCAACAGTGTAAGATGCTTTTCTTTTATTTAAAGAGGCTTTCCTTCAGCCGATAAAAAAAAGTGGTGATGGCGATGGCACTTGTGCTGTTTAAAAAGTGGCTCAAAGCAGACATGGCTTACCCCTCACAGCCTTTCTCCCTCCGCCCCTTCTGCATAGTCCTCCCATCTTCTTTACTTTCTCTTGCCTTATTTCAGATATGCTGAGGGATCAGGGCATGATTTTTTGCTCTCTCTGTTTCCCCTTTATCAGGGGGATAGATTCATCCACCTCACACCCTCCAAGGTGGAAACTAATTCCCTCAATGAACTGTAACCATTCAGAGAGCTCCTAAATGGTGGCCAATGTGCCTGCCAAGCCAGCAGAAATCCTGAATTCTCTGCTTTAGAGTTATAGGACTTTATCACACCAGCCTGCTGTCCCACCACAATCACACTAGTTTAAGAATGGAAGCATACCAGTTCTTATCACACTTTTCCCCATGATAGCTCTTTGACCCCCACCTTCCAGGAGGAAGTGGGGAATAAGCAATCCTGGCTGCCAACTGCCTCCCAAAGTTGGCTGCTGTGTGAATGTGCACACAGCAGCCAACATTGAGTGAACGATCTCGACTGCCAACTGCCTCCTGAAGCCAGCTATTGTTTGAATGTACACACAGCAGCTGTTTTTGAAGGTGTTGGCAGCCACAATTCCAGTTGTTAATTTATCCATTCCTAACAAATCCAGGAGTTTAAATGTCCAGTCCTCTATCGCTTAATTTTCCATTTCTTGGCATAGATCAGTCTTGCCGCTGGTAACATATAAAACAGTATTTACCAAATTCTTTTTCAATTGATTCTTCAATCATATTTAACAAAAAAAAATGTCCGAGGAGAATCTAAGGTTATCTAACCTTGTAAATTTTTACATTTCAAAGTAAATTTGTTTCCAGAACTTTTAAGCACTAAAACAAGTCCACTACATGTGGTATATTGTACCCCTTTCTTTGTCACATTTCCAACATAAATTGTTACAATTTTTATACATTTTACTCATTTTAGCAGAGGTCAAATACCTTCTAAAAAAACCCTTATAATAATTCTCTTTTACATTTTGACTACAAGTATATTTCAATCTCCTCCTCAAGTATTTTCTCACTGATCCATTTTGAGTGAATAACCAAAGTTTTGGGACCACTTGGTCATATTCTCCTTAACTATTTCCTCTTCTGTATAAATTCTCAAAATTCATTTATATATTCATGAGAGCAAAGATTCCTCATTAGACATTATCTCCCCTTCTAATTCTGTATCACATTTTCCAATACCTTCATTTTTTTATCCATTAAATAACGTTCCCTTAACTCTCTGTAAAAAAAAACCAAGATAAATCACAACCTTCCTCTCTGAGTTCTTCTAGATTATATTCTATAATCACCATCATTATGTACTACAAGGTCTTTATATATAATCCATTTCCTTTCCTTCTGTTGGTTTTGCTTAAATAATGCTTCATGAGAAGAAGCCCAGAGAGGGATTTTTGAACATATGTGCCTTTTATATTTTCTCCACACTTTCATTAGAGAGTAACGTACAAAATGATTCTTAAAATCATGATTCACTTTTTCTTTGTTATAGAAAAAATAAGCATACCAGCCAAATCTTAAATTAACTGCTTCTAAATTTAATAAATCTTTATCTTTTAAGATCAGCCATTCTTTAATCCAAGTTATATAAGAAGCTTCAAAATATAATTTAATATTTGGCATGGCAAGTCCTCCCCTCTCCTTAGCATCCTGCAGATATTTTAATTTTATCCTTGTTTTTTTCCCATTCCATATAAAATCTGAGATCTCTTTTTGTCATTCTTTAAAAGGGATATCATTTTTTTTATAATTGGAATCATTTGAAACAGAAAAAGGAATTTAGGGAGTACATTCATTTTTACCGCAGCAATTTCCCCTAGTAACGAAAGTTTCAAGTTTCATTTTTTAAGTCTTCTTTGATTGTTGTCCAGAGTTTTTCATAATTATTTACATACAAATCAGAGTTTTTATTAATTAATGAAATTCCTAAATATTTTACTTTAGGAAATCAAAATAGTTTTTAAAAATTCCCATACCTAGGATCACTGTAGTAAAAAAATCAGAAGACTAGGAATGGGAAGAGTAGAACTAGATAAGATCCCAAACTGCAAAGATATACAACTGAACAAGTTAGAATTGTCCAAGCAGCTGTATTCCACATCACCATGTACAGATGTGAGAAAGCAGATAAAAAGAAAATGAAATTGTTTGAGATGTGGTGCTGGTGGAGTGCTGAGGATTCCATAGACAGCCCAAAAGACAAACAAATGGGTCCAAGAACAAATTAAGCCTGAACTCTCCCTGGAAACCAAGATGATAAAACTGAGGCTGTTGTAATTCTGCCACATCATGAGAAGGCATGATTCATTAGAAAAGACAGTAATGCTAGGGTAGTAGAAAGGTTGAAGGTAGTAGAAAGAAAGGCAAACCAGACATCAGATTATGATTGATTATGATTATGATTATTAAGTATTTATACCCCGCTCTTCAGCCAAAAGGCTATCAGAGCAGCTTACAAATGGACTGAATATACTCAATCAGGGAACTTACAGGCTTGTGTCTGCAGGACCTGAGCAGAGCAGTGGAGGATAGGGGGTCTTGGAGATGTCTGATCCACAGATTTGTCATGAGTCTGGATCAACTTAAAGGCCATTAACAAACAGTAACAACAATAGGACAGACACAATATTTTTGATAAGTACCAGCCAATGATGCTTTTATCTTGTTAAAATTCCTCTTTATAGCATTGTGTAATAAATTTCATAGTGTATTCTTCTGAACTATAGCAGAGAATTCTAGGTACCACTACAAACTACAAATGCCTGGATACTATGGGATAGAGCTATGACATTGGAAGTGCTATAATCTGAAGTGTGGGTACTGTTTTGGTCTATGTTTGTTCAGATTCTGGATGGGAGAATGTCTGGAAACATTGTAATTTATATCCTACTTCTTTCTAGCTTTGAGTTCAAGGAAATGATATATAAATTGTCAAATGTACTAAAGAAATAAAAATAGACAGGATTGCTGGCACTGAACTGCTAAAATAATAAATAAATAAATAAATAAATAAACTTTATTTTTATACCCCACCTTTTGTCAAATGAACTAATTATTAACAAACTGAGCTTGGATTCAGGGATGTATGGTATATATGATAGGAAAGCTGGCTTTAAAGACAAACTTCAGTTGGTGCAAAGAACTGCAGCCAAATTATTAAATGAGATTGTTTCAAGGGATCAGACAATTCCCCTGCTCCCACAGTTTAAATAGCTTTCAGTTTGGTTTCAAGCAGAATTCAAAGTGGTGCCTATGACCTATCAAACCCTATACAACTTATGTCCAGGCTAACTGATAGGCTATATCTCCCTGTATGAACCTGCTTGGACCCTAGGATCATCAGGAGAGGTCCTTCTTTCATCACTTTCACAAGTACTGTTGGTGGCTACAGGAAATAAAGCCTTTTCAGTGGCCGCCCTAGACTCTGAAACTCTTTCCCAAGAGAAGCTAGACTGGCTTCCTTCCTTGCTGTTCTTCTGTCAGAAAATGAAGACTTATTTATTCCAATAAGTTTTTAAAACCCAAAGTTTTATTAATGAAAGAGCTTTTAATAGGGTGCAGTTTTGTTTTAAAGTGTACTGAATTTAACTACTTTTTATCATTTCTAAAAACTGCACTATTTTTATATCATTGTTGTTGATCCTTCAAGTTGTTTTTGACTTATGGTTAACCTAAGATTAATCTATTACAGGTTCTTGACAAGATTTATTCATTGCCTTTGATTTCCTCAGAGGCTAAGTGAGTGTGACTTGACCAAGGTGGGTTGACCACCTTAACCAGTGGGTTTAATAATAATAATAATAATAATAATAATAATAATAATAAAATTTATTTATACCCTGCCCCTCTGCATAGCAATCAGGGCAGCTTCCAATATAAAATACAACACAATAAAATCAATCCCAAAACCCAGCCCCTCCCACCCCTTAAAAAGTCATTAAACAATCATCAGTTAAAAACATATTTAAAATTAGGGCAAAGAGCCGACAAAATACAATAACAAACAACAATAATGGCTGTAATAGCAACTAAAATGGGGGTGCAATTGGGCAGGCTCTTATGACCAGGAAAGGCCTGCTGGAAAAGATCCCTCTTGACAGCCCTTTTAAAGCTGTCTAAAGTCATAATACGATGGATCTCATCTGGCAGGACATTCCATAGTCTGGGAGCAGTCATCAAGAAGGCCCTCTGGAAAGTAGCTGATAGTCTAGATTTTTTTCACCTGTAGCAAATTCATCCCAGAGGACCGAAGTGCATGGGGTGGATTAAATGGGAGGAGGTGGTCTCGAAGGTAAGTTGGACCCAAGCCATTTAAGGCTTTATAGGTAATAACCAACACCTTGTACTGGGCCCAGAAACTAATAGACAGCCAGTGGAAAGACTTCAATACAGGTATTATATGGTCTCTTTTAGATATACCCAAGACCAATCTGGCTGCCATGTTTTGTACTAGTTGAAGTTTCTGGACCAAGCACAAGGATAGCCCCATGTAGAGCGCATTGCAAAATCCAGATGAGAGGTTACTAAAAGGTGTACCACAGTTTCAAGGTCCCTTATTTCCAGGAAAGGGCGCAGCTGGCATATCAGCTGAAGCTGATGACAGGAGCTCCTGGCCGTCGCATTTACCTGATTAATCATCTGAAGCAACAAATCCAGGAGCACCCTCAGATTATGAACACAGTCCTTCACAGTAAGTGTGACCCCATTTCCATAGCCAAGCAGGGATTTGAACCCTGGCCTCCAGAGTTAAAGTCCAGTGCTCAAACCACTACACCATGCTGGTTTTAAATTGTTATTGGTTTAATTTTATTTTAATGCTGACTATTTGTATATTTTTAGCTATACGGTAGCCCTTCCCAATTCACAGGGGATCCTTTCTGGACCCCATCCCCCATGAAAATGGCAAATCACAGATATTCGGGTCCCATAGGAAATAATGGTGCATGCATCTTTGGCGCACACATGGCCATTTTGTTTATAGTCACTTGTCCATCCCACTAAGAGCGAGACCATAGATTCCAAGTCTGTGAAAAGGGAGGGACAAGTGCATTGTCAATCATTTTAATTTGTAAGCCACAGAGTCTGAATCTTGGCAGAAAGGCACTGTATAAAGCACCTTACAGGCCACTAGTGATTTCTACTCCAGTCTGATATATCTGCTTTCTTGGGCAATAAGATAACCACAAGTTACATTTCAGATCTTTGACCTGGAGAAGGAAGTGAATGGGCATTTCAATTTCTCTGTCTCACACACAAAAAACTGAATCCCTCTGCCTGATTAAAAATGTACATCAGGTGGAAACATTTTCAGAAATCTTTTTAAACTGCAGAAAGGAAGCCATTCTAATTCCCTACATGTTTTTCAGCATTGTGGGAGCCAAAAAGAAAAGCCACCATTTTGGCCAAATGCTTCTGAGACAAGAAGGGTTCATCCTTTTAAGATGAAACATGAGTTTATTTGAAACAGTTTCCTGTAGTAGGGCATTCTTCCCTTGGTCTAAAAAATCTCCTAAGGCTAGAAAGCTCACAGGCCACCCATACAGATTTTAAATGAGATAAAAATGAGTGCTCTGCCCTGTCAATAAATGTGCTGTTTTTCAGGAACAAAATATTCATAGTGAATGGAAGTCTACATTCAGACTTCTTTCCTACCAAAGTCTGGTTATAACTATGGGGGACTGTTCACAGACTCTGCACATTGATATAGTCCCAACGAAGTCAGCATAAGTGATCTATGAATTGTTACCTATATTATTTAAAAGCCTCCATGCCTCATGCTCTTAACACTAAACATAAATGGTTGGTTCAAGAACATTAAAGAAAGCACCCAGCCCAAAATGTGTGGCAACCAAATGCTGGTCTTGTATATGTGTGTGTATCATCACCATTAAAACTTTGCATTATTCCATTTAAGAACAGAGCTACACACTGTGAAAGAAACAAGATGTTCCCAAAAGGGACCACGGAAGAAAGAACATTACTTGAACCCAGCAAATGCCCCCAAGAATTTTTAAAATATCTCCCTTCCCATAGAGTCTGATGCCTGAAAGAATGGAAACTAGAATGGAAGTTACAGGGAAATCTGTCAGTTTCATTTTTATTGCATTTCTGAGAATCCCCCTGGTGGCCACATCTCAGTTGTATATCAGGCTGTGAGATTTTCCTTCTCAGCACAGAAGTTCATGCACACTTTGGTACATATTTTTGCTAAAGATTTTTTTTTGACATTTTTCCCTAATATACATTTTTTCTCATTGACTAAAGTGTGATCAACTGTATGCATTTTTAGTCCTTCAAGCTTTCAAAATGTATGCATAGTTTTACACACTTTTTCAAAACATATCACAAGATGCTGAAATATATATGGGATGAATGAGCAAGTTGTACTTCTTCCCATTTGTAGTCTCAAGAAGTGCAATATAGATTTTTTTAAATAAGGAAATAGGCAACCGAACAGTCAGAATCATCAATGCATGTGGGGAAAGGATTAAGCCTTCTCATCTACTCACTAGTTGTCTTTGATATACCACCAGACCCTGTGTTCCTATATTTTGTGTTAACCAGCAGATTTATTGAGAAAACACATTTCAAACGATCCACAATTTACAGTTGAAAACAGGGTTATGCTTAACAGGACTAGTCTAGTACCAATGTTCACTACCCAAGAGCTAAGGACTCGTTGTATTCTAGATTCATTTACATTGAAAGACCCTACCCTCTAATGTTTTAGAAACCAATACAGTGCTCTTTGAGTTAAAGGTATAATTTAAAAATCTATTTTTTAATTTAAAAAATGGGTTAAGAAAAGATTGTAAGCTTGAGGGCAGGGAAATGTCTAATTAACCATTTGTAAGCTGCTCTGATAGCCTTTTGGCTGAAGAGCAGGGTATAAATACTTCAATAATAATAATAATAATAATAATAATAATAATAATAATAATAATATGTGAGATTCCCCCATTTTATCTTTTTGTTGAAGGTCTCTGAAAGTTCTTTCCCTTATGCTTGTGAGTGTGTGTGCCTTCAAGTCAACTGTTGGCCTGTGAGGACCCCTTCAATTTCATAGGGTTTGCTTAGGCAAGGACTACTCAGAGGTACTTTTGCTAGTTCCTTCCTCTGCATTTAGCTAGCCTTCCTTATGATTTACCACTCTGGTCATCTTCTCAGCTCCCAAGGTTGTAAACCACACCATGTCTAACATGCAGTTTAAAATCGAAATTCCACTTAAGAATTTCTTCCCCTTTGGATTTTCAGAGAATTTATATAACAGGGAATGAACATGTGGCTTGATACTCTTTGATATATTTATTAAGGAAAACATTTAGATTATGCAGTTTCACTTCTTATGAAGGTTCATCATATTACTACTTTCCCAGTCAAATTACATTCTCTTATCATATGCATTGCAGAGCTAAGGCCTATTACTGATATAGACAGTATATATCATTTTTATTTTTTTAAGGAAAAGATGTGGGAGCAGGACTTCTTTGGGCCTAGTTAGAGGCCCAATTGGCACAAATGATGGTGCTATTCTGCCACTAAAAAAAAAAAGAAATGGTGGTGGTTGTTGTTTAGCTACAGCTTTCAGGACCAGTTTATTTAATCCAGATTTACACATGTGCTTGGTTTTATATTGTCTTAAATAATTTAAACTTATTTTGAACTATTTGTTTCAACTTTAAAAATTGTTTAATTTGTTTTCAGCCTATTTAAATTACTCTTGCTATTTTAAATTGTTCGAAATTTAAAACTGATGTCATTGCATCCTACCCTGAGATCCTCAGATATAGGGTGGGATAGAAATACTAAATGAATGAATAAACACTGAAAAGAAAATCTGATGCTTGAACGTGTAATTTCTAGAGTTCCAAAGGAAAGAGATTAAACCTTGGGAAAGGTAGGTCCTATGGCACAAATGGTTCCAAGTCATTTGATCTGGGAAACACTTGACATTAAATGTTGTACAAGAAATCTGTTAAGCAAATTTATTTCAGCTCTAGAGGAGCAACATTTTTCAGGCAGCCTTGTCTGCAATTCAAACAGGCAAATGCAACAAAAACTAGTCACAGTCTGGGAAGTTACTTTTAAGAAAAATGAACATAATAACATGCTGAAGTCATGCATCATGGATAAGTGCTAGGATGATTCTCTGGGACCCTGAGCACCATCCTATCACTGCTTGGTTATGGAAGTAATTAAAAATGCCACCATATCATGATGCATGCACATGATTTCATATGATTTTGGTTGCTAAAGGGGTCTAGCCAGGTTAATATTTGAATGGAATACCAGTAGGAAATACCAATGAACTCTAAGTAGGGCTAGGAATTAATCCTGCCTGAAGCATCTGATAGCTGCTGCCAGTTTAAGTTGATGACCCCTGTCTAAAACAACCTATGGTCTGTCTGATTATGACACAGTTCACTGTACACATATTTTATATATTTGTTCTTGAAAATAACTTACCAAACTATAGGCCAGCACTGCCAGTACAGATCCCAGCCTTGCCGTTGATTGGTTTTTATCCTGTGTGGAAAAAATGGAATTATAAGACCTACATACCCTTCAAGTATTCCGATTTGCAAAGATAAACCAGTCCCAATTAATCCTCTGTCATCTACTTTTTCAGCTGCTTTTAAAGTGTCCCAGTTTTTATCTCCTCCTCCCACTTTCCCCCTTTCTCTTCAGCTTACTTCAGTTGCTGACAACTCAGTGGAGAGAAAAGAGAGGAGGGGCAGAATCCTGTCCTTCCCAGTAGACACAGGCAAAAGCAAATTGTTGCACCCACTCCTATCTTTCTCATTAATAACTTTTGCCATCCTGACTATACTCACATGTTGCTCAGCCACATATCTGTCCTGGTTTTAATCTGTAAAATATTGGAGGCTCAGGGTTTCATGGACAGGGATCCAGACCAGGATAAGAGTGCAAGGTATAACACTGCCTATACCAGGGGTAGGCAAACTTTCCCCTTTAAGATCCGAGGGACTTCAGCTCCCAGAAGCCTCAGCCATGTTGGCCAATAGTCCCATGTTGGCCAATAACTCCTGGGATTCTGGGAGCTGAAGTCCCTTGCCCCTTAAAGGGGAAAGGTTGCCTACCCCTGGCCTATACAGAATCTTTCAGAAAAGAAAGCTTCTGTGGTGGTCAGCTTCTCATCTTCTCTAATCATAAAATACAGGCTGGAAGGGCTGCTTGTATATGTCATGTGGTGGATTTCTGTGAAGAGAGAAAAGAAAATTTAGTTCATTACTTCCAAGGAAGATATCATATCTAAATAATAGAGCAGCTGTCCTTCATGCAGATATCAGATCAAATACTTAGAATTTCCTTTTGAAAAGATTAGGTAACACATGTTGGGAATGCCTCTGAAATTAAAGTAGACATTTTTGGGATAAATGAATTAAGGATCTGTCTCTCATATGTTCATTCATTCATTCTTTCCTTGAAAAAAAGATTAAACATTCTTGAAATGGAGAAGGAAAAAATGTAACCTTTGGCAGGCATGGAGAGCTCAAAACCTAAAGACCACATCTGTTCTTTCTGGGAATTTGTCCCTTCTTTATACAAATTTTGCATAGTGATACTCTGTTTACCCCATTTGTGGTCCACTATCAAGTGCTGCTACTCTTTCTTATTTGGTACAAGGCCTTTGTTTTAAAGTTGTTTCGTTAATGCTGAATTTATTCCACAAAGTATTTAAAATATTCATTACTAGTCTTGTCACCTTTAAAATTTTGCTCTCCCAGTGTACTGTCAATAATTGTTCACTGCAGGCAGAGA